TCAGGCAGCATGTACACCCCTCGGTGTGCTCAGGAGCACAGCACAGCCACACTCCCCAGCACCAGCCAAGATATTTGCATTAAACTGCAACTATTTAAATGGATTCTTGAGAAATGCAAGTGTTAAACATTAATCGGTCCACGTACCTAACAGTACTGGAAGCAACTGCTACATGGAAGCCAAGCCCAGGAAAGTGTGAACTCTTCCACACGAAACAGCCTGCATGTTGTTTTCTTCCTTAATACCCCAGAATATCTGAAAGCAGCAGGATCTGTCTCTGCTCTCCCCTCCAAGCAGCAGGCAAGGCTAACAGCCACATATTCTTCCCAGCCAGCCTCCTTCATCACTGCATGCTTTTTTAAACCCTCATTTTGCTGCCTTGTGCATTTTATCCTCCTTCCTATCAGGACACGGGCAGCAGAGGCACTAAAAAAAGGCACGTGTACAACCAAACACCTTTTGCTTTCACTTCCCCAGAGGTGAAAAGTGACTTAGTACAGCTCTAACTCTAGCAGGGCAATGGTATCAAAGGTCTTAAAGAAATGAGATGTGTCAAGTATCCGAGGAAAGATAGCCTGGATGCAGGAGTAGCTTGGCTATTCTGTTGCACTCAGGATCACACAAGATATATTTGTCTACATCCAAGCAGAAGATAAACTGGTACTGAGCATCTCCCACTTCAATTCCCAAGCAGACCAAGTACTATGAATGACCACTCATTTTTTTAACTTATTCACAATTGCCCAAAATTAATTTAATGTAACTTTTAACATAATATAAAACAACTAAGGCTTTTCCACCAACTGCATGTGGAAAAAATGAGCAGACAAAGAAAGTCTTCAAATGAATTAACCAGCCTGAGTACTGGGAATACAGTATAGGAATCAATTTTGCTCAGCAAAGCTGGGGGGGAGGAGTGGGAATCCATGAGGAAATGCTAAAACAAAACATATGGCACCAAGACTGAATCCTAAACACTCCATTTAGAGCTCAGGCAGTTCTATTTTGTACAGTGTAACATTTTTCTTGAATGGGTTTTAAATATCAGGCATGTGAAACTGGCTGCAGCCAGCACGCAGGCACCACAGCCAGCAATGAACACCACACTCCAAAAAAATAAAATAAAAAAACCCAACCCCTAATCCTTATCATTGGACAAGAGCCTCCCATTCCAGCCTGATTTTTATACCCAAAGACCCTGACTGCTCCTGGCCAGCACCTCCAGGCTGCTCTTTTTCAACACAAGACTCCTACACAAGCACCAGATAGATGAGCATGGACATCTTGATAAAATTTGGGAGAGAAGATACCTTAATTCTAACAAGTTCCTCTCTACCCACAAAAAAAAAGTTCTCCCACACAGGGCTGGGATGAGCATAGATAGAAATCTAATTTTCAGCCCCAAAAGATCAACGTGATCACGCGCAAAGCCCAACTCCAAAGCTACTTGAACTGCAGTCATTAAAAAACTAATCATTCCTAAAATGGTGACTTCAATTTCCAATTTAGCCTTGATTTCTGATGGGATAAGAAACTCCCACCACATCTGTTCATGCAGCCTGCGCTGTCCTCATCGCTGCAAAGAGATCTGTCAGGGGAGAGAGGGCACAGGAACAGAGCCTGGGAGCACTCCCACCACTAATTTATCTCCTTTTCTGGCATGGGCTGTTTGCAGCAAAGGGGATGCTCCTAAATCAAACAGCCACAGTCAGCATGGCTCTAATCTTTCCAAAAAAGTAGCAAAATGAGAATGACCCAGTTCCAACCAACTTCACTCCCGCTACCAGCATTTCCAAGAGGAATTGTGAGATGCAGGCGAACCTGCATGTGTGAGTATCTGATCAGCACAAGCAGCATGAGGTCGAATTTTTTTCAGGCTTCAAAAAGAAGACTGCAGTAATTTATATGCAATCCACGCTCAGAAGACCAACCACCTTCACAATCACGGCACAGACTATATTCTGCTTTTTAGATAAAAATTGCAGCATCTCCAAAGGCCCTATTCACCTGCAGAACTCTCGCTACTCTGGGGGTATATTTCACTGAAATGCTTTTTAAATTGCTTCCTCTATCCCACCTGCATTTTATCCTTTTTTAAAAGGAAATCAGGTTCTCCTCTTATCAAAGTTCCTGGATTCAGTGTACCAGAAGTTATTTAAGCCTAAGGAGGCTACTCAGCAGTTATTAACACTAACCAAGCATAATCAACACGGATATTAATCCACACCTTTATAATGGCATGAGTCATCCCCAGTGCTGAGTAATGCTTTTTTATTTATATATAGTATTAGCCAGAATCAGGGGAGCAGTTTTACAGTAGAGGTTCTCTTTGCAGGTAGGAAACTTGCTTTTTCTATTTCTGCACTTGGGTGGTATGGAACCATCCACGTCCAATAAAAGCCACATATGGCTATTTTCAGGCAAAACCAGAACAAATTAAAGAACTGGAATAGTACAAGTTAAAGAACTGGACTACAAATGGATTTCCATTAGTCCATGTGAAAAAACAGCTGAGCTGGTAATCTCGAAATTTACTCAAAACTTTAAGACTAATGTTTGGGGTTTTTTTTTTCCATCAGGAAACAAGTTAAATCCTTTAAAAGCACCGGTACAAGGTTCATCTCTTTCCACACCAGAACGTCTCTTTGTTCCGTGCTGAAGAATCTGTACAGCTCTTCAGTTATAAAGAGAGCTCAGGAAAAAAAAAAAAAATCAACCAAAAAACCCTTGAGGTTTACAGGAGACATGAAGCAGGAGGCAAGGCGGTCCAGCTCAGTTAACACAGTGACATTTTGTCCCACAAATCATATACGTGCTAGGAAACTTGCGTCACATCTCCATCCAGGCCGCTGGCAGACACACCAGTGTTTGAAAGGAGTAAAGGGGGGGCAGGGGACAGGAAAGTTAAAAAGAGAAACCATATGTTTGCAATATACACATCTCAGTGTACACTCCATCACATGCCAAAATGCCAACACAACCTTTCAGTGAGCTGGCGACATCCAGAAACTCACTTTGCAGAGGGACAGGGAAAAGATACAGAAGAAATTCGACACTTTTTCCACATTTCTCCCAAAGTTCTGTCAGTTAACATGAGACAACACATCTCTGTCTCCCAGTACTCTGAGGCTGTGGGATGTGCATCTCCAGCAGCAAGTTCTACAAGAGCAGAAGTGTATTTACATTCCCTTTTGTTCCCATCCCACCCCGCTCCCCAGCTACAAAGAGGCATTCGCTCCTATCCTTGATTACCCGGGTCCAAATCCTTCCTTTTTGCCACCACAAAAGACCCCTTTGCAGGCTCTCAAAAGAAAAGGAAGTATTTCCTATGAGAAATTCAGTTCTCTTTCCCCAGGAAACTGGTGGCATGTTCTCCCCCTTCCTCCCCACTCCAGCATCTCCTGCTCCTCAGGGAGGCTGAACATCCTCTGCCCCAGGGCACATTTTCCAGAGGAGATTTAAAGGGTTGCTCTGTAGGATTACATCTCCCCTGTCTTTACAGGGAGTTGGTCTCCTTCCTAAAGCACTGCTGCTGCCTCTGAGCGGAGGGAGAGGACAAAGCCTGATCCCACAGAGCAACAGGGATTTCCAGAGGGATTTCCCCCACTCCACAGCTTTAGCTCCTTCCTACTTTTAAACAATGCTAAGAATTTAATCCCTTAAAACAGCATTTTCACAAACTCTCCAACCCTCAACAGAAAACAAGCCTCCCCACGAGGCAGAGATGGAAAGCCTGGGCATGACAGTGCTACGTCATCCAGAAACTTCAAATACAAGCACTCCACAAAGATTACTCAAAGAATTAACCTCCTTCCTAAAACCCTTTGGCCGGGAGCCTGCCCTGCCACTCTCCTACTTCATTCCGAGTCTCCGGAGGGTGAGACGGGAGGCACCGACCTTAGAGTCACCTGTGGCACCACCTCCAATGTGTCACACACTCGCCCTAGAGCAATATATCCCTCAAACACACCCCAACAAAATGGTCGAGACAGCCAATAAATCAGTACAGCGGGAGGCCTTTGGTAACTGGGCAGTTTAACGCCAAGAGTGAGTGAAGAAGGAAAAAAAAAAATCATTTAATAGAGAGAGCAAGGACTGGGGCCTCGAGCTGAGAACAATGAATGAAAACGCACAGCAGCAGCAAAAATCCCAGGGTAAAAGGCTGGTTCGGCGTCTCTACCAAACCCTCCGTGCAGGGACCAAAGCAGCGCGGGGCTCCGAAACTGCAGAGAGGTGTGATCGCCCCAAAATGAACCGGGGTGCCCTAGAAGGAGAGAGTCCACGCAAGCTCTGGAGTTCACTCCCGCTGACCACCTCACGCCCAGCACCACTCCCAGACCACACCGTGGTGGGAAGCAAAGCCCCCCAAAGCGGATCCTGTCCCACTCACCCCCACACGAGGAGACCCAGACCCTGCCCAGAGGAGCGGGCAGAGGCCAGGGAGGAGCCCCCTGCCAGGGGGGCGTCCCCGCGACCACCACAATCCTCTCCTGAGATGGGGCAGACCCACATCCCCTCCCGCGGGCCCCACACACAGATGAGGAGGGGGCAGCCGCCTCAGCAGAGGGGTCCCACAGACCCTCACGGCCCTCAGAGTCCCCCGCAAGACGGGGGGACAGATCCTCTCACATCCTTCCTACATACGTGGCTGGAGGGGGGGAGCGGTGGTCACACATTCCCAGTCCGTGACGGGGCGTGTGCGACGGGACCCCTCAAGCTGAGAGCCACCCCAAACCCTCACACCCCTCAGAGAGGGAGGACAGAACCCCCTCAGCTGAGGGGTCCCCCAGACTTTCACACAGCTCAGTGTGGGGGAACAAACCCTCTCGCACACTCACATGGCTGAGGGAGGTGGAAGCCACACAGTCCCACTCCTCTGCGCGCTGTGTGACAGGATCCCCCTCAGCTGAGAGGGATCGGACCCCCCCTTCCCTCAGCGGACTCACACCCCCACATCCGAGGGGCACCCTGCACCCCCCCAAACCCCAATGACCGCTCACCGATGACCTCCTGCAGCTCGTAGTCATCCTTGTTGATGGACCAGGGCAGCGCGCTGGGCTCCTCGGCCATGGCCGCGCCGCGCCCGCCGCCCTCCGCGCCGCGAGGGGGAGCGTCCCCGAGGGGCGAGGGAGCGGAGAGGAGGCGCTGCGGTGTCCCGGCTGTCCCGAACCACGGCCGAGTCCGAGCCCCCTCCTCCTCCGCCTCCTCCTCTCCCGCCGCTACCGCCGGCCCAACTCCGGCCACCGCCACCTCCTGCACCTGCCCATGCCCGGAGCGCTAACGTCACCCGCGTGCGCCCCGCCCGCCACGGCGGGGAGCCGCCCGCCGCCATCTTGAGCGTGGCGTGGCGACACCCCGCCCGCCGCCAGAAGGCGACTACGCCACGGTTTTCTCTGTTAACACCACCGGCCTCGAGGAACGGGTCGGTAAGGCAAGACTCCAAAGCAAAGGACGGAGGAGGAGCCCCGAAAGAAAGGGCGGGGATGCCACACACAAGATGGCGGATGCGAACATCATCCCCGCCCTCAGGCACAGGGCGGGAGCGGGTGCCGGTTTAAGCGCAGTGAGGGCAACGATTGGCTGTCCCTGACGGATCCGCTGCTCCTATTGGTCGGGCGGCTGTCAATCATGTGCTGGCGTTTCCCGGGTCCCTGTGCCTGAGGGGCCGGGCCGCGCTCCGGCCGTGAGGGGACTGGGAGCCTGCGGGCAGGAGCGGGGCCGGGCCCGGGCACTGCAGGGGTGCACATTCCGTGTTTAAAAATAGTGTGGGGTGTGAGGGATCAGGAGGCCTGGTATGCTCGCAGCCCCCGAGGATGGGCAGTTCTCCGCTCCACGCTGCAGTTCCAGCATTCGTGGAGATGTCCAACACCCTCATGGAGATGTCCTGCATGCTCATCCTACGGTTTAAGGCTCCACACACGGAATTTTTTTATCTGGATGCAGTTAGTGCATCTGGTGGTCATCGAGGAAAAGAAATTTATTAAAAGAGTGAGGAATACAAGGCTGAGTGGCACCATGCACTCACGAAGGCTGATGTTGCTCTCTAATATATATACATTTAAATGTTTGTAGTTTGAGGATTTTTTTTTTTTTTCCTCGACATGAAAAGAGATAAAACAGCATCTCACTATTGCAATGCAGGACTGTAACCAGCAGAACCGACTTGGAATCTGAGTATCAGATTTCATCCTTTCCTGGTCACTGTTCTTGTGGCCTGATGTCAGGCCCTTCTGTGGGTCAAAGAACATCAGTTACATGTATTTTTAGTTTATTAGGACAAATTCCTGAGATGCCTCTGGTGAACCAGGCTTTGTGGAGGGCCACTGCCAAAGGCATGGTCTGACCACAGTGCTTTCACTCGTGCTCTAATGCAGGACTGCAGCTCATTCCTTTACTCTTTTTTTGTCTTCTACAAAAGCCCCACAGCCCCATCTCGCTCACTGCTGTTCAGGCACTCCACAGCTCTGTCATAAGGCAGAACCTCCAACTGAAAAGCTGTTTGTTTTCCTGCCTGTCTGTGTTAAACATTCCCCTGCTGAGCCATTTTTAATATTTGCTAAATATGCCTTAATTACTGCTCGGAACCGTCTCTGTGATCTTTTAACCATGTTATAAAAGGAGTTTATATAGCAATTAGAAACAGGTTTTACCCCAGAGCAGGCACCCGGGTAGCCAGTGTCGTATTTCTGATAGCTAACAGCATGTTAAAAATGGATCTGAGCCAGGCACCAACTACAAAAAAAGGCTTATACACTTAATTTTACCACATGCTTTTAAATTCTGAACCATCTTTTGGAATCTCTTATTCTGGGCTGAAAGGCAGTGCTAAAACTCATACTGCTTTAGACCATTGGGGTAGGATTAGGTCCACAATGTGTCTTGTTCTTTAAGAATAACCACAGGCTTTGATCAAAATTAAAATTTAAAATGTTCACTGGCAAGACCACTGGTGGCCATGCTAAAACTCTTACTGCTTTAGACCATTGCAGTAGGATTAGGTCCACAATGTGTAGAATAGCCACAGGCTTTGATCAAAATTAAAATTTAAAATGTTCACTGGCAAGACCACTGGTGGCCACGTGAGCATAGAGAGATGAGTGCTACATTTTAGTTTTCCAGTTCTGCCATGAAAAATACATTTCCATATTTTTAAACCCAGATCTCTCGTTCAGTCATAGACTCCAGGTCTATACATTTTGCTTTTTTTTTCTTTTTTTTTTTTTTTTTTTTTTTTTTTCTCTGCTATGAAAAATATATTTCTAGATTTTTAAACCTAGATCTCTCATTCAGTCATAGACTCCAGGTCTCATAAATTTTGCCTTTTTTTTTTTTTTTTTTTTTTTTTTTTTTTTAATGAACTCAGCATTTTGAGTCTCTCAAAAGTCAGGGGTTGCTGTTGCACTCATTCATTTAGTGGGTTGTTCCAAGATGAGTCTGCTGAGGGATGAAAACATGGAGCTGGATTTCACACAGCTTTTATTCCTTAGCCAGCTTCAGACCTCCAAGCAGCACCTTCTCCTCTCTCATCACTTCTGCCCGTCCTTTTTTTCCTGATTTTCTGAATTTTGCTTGTCTCGTGTAGGCTGTGAGCTCCTCAGGGCAGAGGCAATGCCTCTATTTATAAAAGAGCTGTGAAGTGGTGCTGCTGAATCAAGAGCTCTTTTGTAATAACAAGAAATTTTAGTGGAAATATGAAGTGGAAAAGCAGCTTCCTGGTGTATCCACCTCGGCTCTGGACCGGGCTTTAGGGGAGACTGAGAAGTGGAAAAACTTCAGATGTCTTTCAGGTGGGAAGGCTGCAATCTGAGAAAAAAAAAAAAATTCCCCGAGAAAATAAAAATTCCAGAGCTGGGTTTCCTGCATTTTTTGACTTCCAGTAAAACACCAGGGATCAGGGCAGGCAGGGCGCTCCTCCTCCATCGATTCTGCAGCAGAATGGAAGCTTTCTCCTGGCTCCTGCATTTCACTGATATCCTGAGGCTGGTGTTCCACTGCCAAAGCCTTGGCACACCAGGCACACAATGCATGCTCGCACAAAATGCTCCCCTTCTCGTCAGGCACATGGTTTCCTGCCTTTCTGGGCCAATTACTTATTGTTTCAGTGAAACTTACTGGCACTGTCCAGCCCTTAGCTTGGTTTTTCCATCCGTGTAATATTGTAAAAGTGATGTTTAATACCCATGTTGGTTTTTGATGCTGAGCACACAGACATTGCTGCCTTTAGCACCTGGAAGGGGTCCTTGGTGGGTTTTGTCAACAGGTCAGGGAGGTGATTCTGCCCCTCTACTCCAGTCTGGTGAGACCCCACCTGCAGAGCTGCATCCAGCTCCAGGGTCCCAGCACAGGAAGGACAAGGAGCTGTTGGAGTGAATCCAGAGGAGACCACAAAGATGCTGGAGCACCTCTGCTATAAGGAAAAAGGGAACAAACTTTTTAGCAGGGCCTGTTGCAGTAGGACAAGGGGCAATGACTTTAAACTGAAGGACTGTCAGTTTAGGTGAGATATCAGACAGAAGTTTTTTGTCATAAGGGTGGTGAGGCACTGGCACAGGTAGCCCAGAGAGGTGGTGATGCCCCATTCCTGCAAATATTAAAGGTCAGGTTGGATGGAGCTCTGGGCAACCTGGTCTAGTTGAAGGTGTCCCTGGTCATTGCAGAGGGGTTGGGCTGGATGGCTTTTAAAGGTCCCTTCCAACCCAAACTATTTTATGATTCTATGATCATCATCACAACCATGAACATTAACTTCATTTACACTTGGGTCACAGAAAACTGCTTTAAACTCCAGTTTGTGTATTGAGGCCCTGCAGATTTCATCTTTCTGGTCATGTAGCCTCTCAGATATATAATTTTCTTCATGTTAGAGTTGAAGCCAAAGTTGCTCTTTCAGCGCAGCCACGCAGAGACATTTTCTGTCACAGCTGATCGGTTTTCAGGGCCGTGGCATTTGTTGCTGTGTTTATGGTTTAAGGCTCTTTAAGGCACCATAAACCTCTGTGTGTAATGCCGTGGCTCCCAGGGCTGGTGCAAACAATGGCACTTAATGTGCCTGTGGAGCTGCCTGGTACGCCTGGGCTGAGGGAAGCCCATCAATGCCTGTTTTATTGCCTTCAGAGCTGGGCAGCCCATGTCCTCGAGCAGAATGCTTGACCTTGTTCCACTGCAGAATTTGCCTGCTGTTCTCTCTTCGTGGCAACACTTCCAGGTTTATTGAAGGGACCTTACTCTATCAAACTGCAGCTGATTACTTAACTAAGTACACGGCAGTTTCCTCTCCAACAAACAAAGGCAGGCACTGCACTTGATCTCCAGGGGTTTTTCCTGGCAGCTTTGCTTTGGAGAAATGATGTGAAGATCTTGCAGTGGAGGAAGGAGCAGTGATTTCAAACCCTCCAAGTGGAGCAAGCTTTTAATAATAGTTGTTTTCAAACCACAAGCTAAATTCCAGCCTAAACCACACCAGCAGGTTTTCCTAAGTGATCCCGTGTGCTACCCTGTATCTCCACCCCATCACAGAGCCATTTGAAATTCAGCTCTGAGGTCACTTTGAAGTCAAGTAGCTGAAGGCCCAGTTTTAACAGGTGAATTCTGGTTCTCACAGGGTGTTTACTGAAACCAGCTTTCACTCTGCAAACACACTTCTCATCCCAGCACGCTGCCTCCCAACAGAAACTCTGAGCTCCTCTCCAACTTCCTTCACTGAAAATAGGCCTCAGATTTTGAGCTCTGGGAAACAAGAAAAGACTTTATCTCCAAAACAAGTTGGGTTTTTTTCTTATACATTTCTTCTAAGTTTATGATTGTTTTAGTATATAAATTGAAAGCCATTTAACCCTCTCTATAACAATTTAAAGCTATGCTGCCTCCTTCCAATCTAATATAAAATCAATGCTGGGCTTGAGAAATAATTATTGCAAGATCTTGATTAGCATATACCTGAACCACCATTTAATAATCAGCCCTTGCTCTGCTCTGGTTTACAATAATGCTGTCTTAATACCTCTTTGTCTTTACAGAAGCCAATGAAAGACACTTCACTTGCCTGTACCTCTTTTCACCCTGGGAAAGTCACAGCTTCTGAGGACAGAAAGGTTTTCCCACCAGCCTCTTCTGTGGAGGGTAAATCTCCATCATAAAGCATTTTCTAAGAAGCTGACCAGGACAGGGATGAGAATGTGTTTCAGAGCTTTTTCCCTGGTTCTTGAAAGTGCAAAATAAGCCTGGTGGAAGCAGCCAGACCCTGCTGGACAAGTGGATACATCTGGCC